AAAAGAACAGCTAAGAATTGGTCCTGAACTTAGCTTAGGATTTTAGAGAAGGACTTCTAATATAATCCATTCAAAAACATGTCAAAGAGGTGTGATTTTAACTGGATTTTTAATGCTTTAGGATCTCATTGCTCTGACTGATGAAGACATCTTGTTTCCAGTGATGGCAGTTAAGGCCTCTGCAACTTTTTTTTTTTTTAAGGCAATTGAGGTTAAGCGATTTGCCCAGGGTCACACAGCTAGTAAATGTCAAGTGTTTGGTTTGAGGCCATATTTGAACTCAGGTCCTCCTGACTTCAGAGCCGGTGCTGTATTCACTGCGCCACCTAGCTGCTCCTCTCCAACTTTTAATGACAAAATCATGGCTTGCATTCTTCACTGAATGCCTGAATAGCATTGCTCTGACTGGTGAGTGAGGGCTTGTACAAGAGCACATTTTAAGTGCACCTGATAGGGGAGATACTTTGAAGAACAAAAGAAATATTCTTTTGAAAGGTTTTTATGGATATCTTTGTCTTAATGTCTCAGTTGTTTCTGACCATATCCCTTTCCCTCCTCTTATTCAGTGAGCCATCCCTTGTAACAAAATTTGAGAAAAAGCAGTTCAGCAATACCAACACATCATCCATCCACATAGAACACATGCAGAATTCCATGACTGTAGTACCCCACAGCACATTTTTTCAGTTCTTTTCTAGCACCAAGTATGTTTATCATAGTTACAACAGTAGTCAGTTTCATTACATTGTTCTGTCCATTTATATTGTTGTAATCTTGTATTATTTTCCTGGTTCTGCTTACTTCACTCTGCATCAATTCACATAAGTCTTCCCATGCTTCTCTAAATTCTTCACCATTTCTTATGATACAATAATATTCATTAATTTTTGTACCACAGTGAATTTAGCCATTTCTCAAACAATGGGTTTCTACTTTGTGACAAGTTCTTTGAGGTCGCAAAATACTGTTACTAGTATCTGGGGCATTTCTTGATATCCTATGCATCTTGCTGCTTATGCCTGCTTGGAAGCAGGACCTCTGGATCAAAAGATATGGATATTTTAGTCACTTCTTGAGCATAATTACAAGTTACTCTCCAAATGATTAAGCTAATCATTAGCCACTAATTCATACCTCTACCAATCAGTCAGCTTTTATTAAAAGTCTACTATGTGCTAGGCTTAGTATACAGATTCTTAAAGCATTTATGTTCATGTTCTGTATCTTTTGACAGCCCCACCAACCATTTCTATCTTGTATCATCTTTGCCAATATGCTAAATGTAAAGTGAAGCTTCAGATTTACATTTCTATTATTAGTCTTCCAGAGCAATTTTTCATCCATTGAGGAATGGCTCATGGTCTTAGATATTTGTGGTTGTTGTCAGTTCTGTTCTTAAAGCCGTCTAGAAAAGGGAGATGCACTGGTCATCTATTTCAGATATGAAAGGACCCTCTCAAACAGGAAAAAACACAGAAGGAAGATTAGTCATTAATATTAAATATTACAAAGAAATCAAGAATAACAAGGACTTGGAAAAGGCATTTGGCTTTGGCAGTGGTCAGTAGTAACCTTGCAAAAGGACATGATCATGTTTTGGGCAAGTCTACTCAGTAATGCAGACTTCTCTTTCCAGAGGTTTGACAGAGTTGAGATGAGATGATCCAGTAGGTAGAAGGTTAGCAAAATAAAGAGACATTAGCATGTAGGTACTTATTACAGTTTGGAGGATCGAATGAGAATGAATACAAAGTGCTTTGCAAACGTGAAGTCAAACTTTGAGTATTATTATTGTAGGTGAAAAAGAGGAGTCACTGTAGAAAGGGAGACTAAAAATGCAAGAGGTAGAGATGATGAAGAGAGAAGACTTATAGAGAAAGGGAGAGGATGGAATCAAAGGCATCAAAAGGGGTGGGGGGAGGAGGGGTGCAGAGACAGAGCTGAGAAGGAAGTGAGATCATTTCTAGAAAATGCTTCAGTTTGCACATGCAGAAGGAGTGGGGCTAGATGGCCATAGTTTTGAAGAGCATCAAAAAAGTTTCAGATATTTATAGTCTTATGACTGATCAAGGGCTGTTTCAACTGAAATTAGAGAGGTTAAAAACAGCTCACAGTTGGTTTGGCAGATATTGATAAAGATAAGGTATTTGTTACTATGATTAGCAGGATTAAAAGGAAAAGAATAAACAGAAAATTGGGCCAGCAATTGATAGGAGGCTTTAGCTGAAAAGAGGGAGGTTCAGCAGTAAAACCTGTGGCTTCATCTATGTACTGTACAAAGGCATAAAGTATGTGTAACAGTATAATCACAAAGCAAAGAAGTTAATTTGGCAACACAGGCGTAGTAAAGACTCAGTAAAATGGGGCTAATGACTGCAATATGGCAGTGGAAGGTGATACCTTATTCTAGGAATAGAGACTGGACTCATGATTTCATTGCTTTTGGGAGCTCCCAGATGCGAGGACTCCTACCAATGCAGCTTGGCACCTTCTCTATAACTCAGAGCATAACTTCAAGAGTTATCCACACACCTGAAAGGTTAATTACTTGTCCAGGGTCACACAGCCAGTATGTATCAGAGGCAGGACTTGTACCCAGGGCTTGCTGGCTCCAAGACCAGCTCTTTATGCACTACATCATGTAGTCTCACTTTATTCCAAAGTAAAATAGTAAGTAACATATGTTATTCCTCTGTGTGTGGTAAAAACACTATGTTAGTGTGAGGGAATGTAGGAAGATGAAGGGGAAGAAACAGGAGCAGAGACTTTGATCTGGAAGGGACCATAAAGGTCGTCTAGTCCATTCAGCAGATGAGGTAACTAAAAGGCAGAGAAGCAGAGTGACCTGCCTGAGGTCACACAGGCCGGAGACGACCCAGCCAGCATTCAAACCCAAGTCCTCTGACTCCCGCTTCAGCCCTTGCCACCGTGCTACCTTGAGAAAACTTCAGTAAGAATCAAAGGGTGGAAAAATAGAAAAAATATTAGCAATATGCTACAGGTCCCCTGGACATAAGTGAAGGAAACATGACAGCCCTGAAATGGAGACACCCATGTCCATCCATCCCTTCTCTGAGCTTCCCCATTCTTGTTGAAGGCAGCACCATCCTTCTTGTCACCCAAATGTGCAACTTTGGAATCATCCCTGGCTCTTCTCTTAACCCCAGTATCTAGTCAGTAGCCAAATCGCATCCATCCTTCTCATTCATCTCTTGCCTTTGTCCCATCTTGAGTTATACAACTACTACCCTAGTTCAGACCCTTAGCACCTCTTTCCCGGATGATAGAACTCCTCCACTGCAATCCATCCTTCACAGAGCTGCCAAATTGTTACTTTTTTTTTTTTGAGGCAATTGGGGTTAAGTGACTTGCCCAGGGTTACACAACTAGTAAGTGTCAAGTCTGAGACCAGATTTGAGCTCAGGTCTCCCTGACTCCAGGACCGATGCTGTCTCTACTGTGCCACCTAGCTACCTCCCCCCCAAATTGTTACTTCTGAAACACCTACATGAGCATGTCATTTACCTACTCAGAAATCTTCAGTGACTCTTTGTTACTTCTAAAATAAAATACAGATTAAGCCTGGCACTCTATATTAGACCCTTGTAGGTATCTAGCTATTTCCTACACATGATGTTCTGTTTCCTGTCTCTGTTTTTTACACAGATGGTCTTCTAGTCCCCAACTTCCCTCCTACAAAAGATATTTCCTGATCCCCCCGTTGTTGATGCTCTCTCCCTCCCCATCAATACTGCTTTCTGTTATTTTATATGTGCTTTATATTGCCGTATCTGGGCTCAGTGCCTTCAGGGCACGTAGTAGGCACTTAAATATTTATTGATGATTACATGTTATCTCTTGTTGAAATGAACAATAGTGATAGAGAACTTACATTTTTCTTTTCTTTTTTTTTTTTTTGGATGAGGCAATGGGGTTAAGTGACTTGCCCAGAGTCACACTGCTAGTGAGTGTTATGTGTCTGAGGCCGGATTGAACTTTTTTTTTTTTCAAGGGTACTGTTTTTCAAGGGTACTGTTTTTCAAGGGTACTGTTAAGGAACAGATTATAAATTCTTGATTTTTCTCAGTGGGGATTTCAGTTTTCAAGAAGGGGAGGTAGCCATAAAAATCTGGTTCTGACTAACAAGGAATTGGAAATGATGAAAATATTGGAGACCATGCCATCTTAGAATTGGATAAAGAACATTCTGGCAGGACGGCCAAGTGAGTGATCATGACTAAGCCCAATTCTTATTTGTTACCTTAAAATAAGCAGTGAGTGGGTCAATACAAGGGGGAAAAGGGGAAATCTTCTCATTTTCTTTTTCAGATAAGAGTGAAAGAGCAAGAAAAAAAAAAGGACGTGGAATGGGGTTTGTTTTAGCAGTAGTGAATTGTTGTGAAGCTTCAGAAGGATAGATATGTTGCTCATCAAGCTATTTCATATTTTGTGGGGAAATGATGCAAGGAAGCTTCGATTGACAGGATGAATCTGCTTCTGTGTAACATAGGTTTGGTCTTGCTAAAAGGAACACCGTTATGTGTTTGTGATGCACTACACCTTGAGCTGATTTTAGCCTTAGTAGGAAAGAAATGCAGAAGCAATTAGGTTAACAGTTCACATTTTTAATGTGTGACTAATGTGGCATGAGGATAGAAGGTAACATGAGATAATTCTTCTGTATTACATGTGGCCCAGAACTACATCTCTTAAGATCATATGGAATAAGTTTAATCATATAAAGGCTTATCAGAATGGCTGAAATATCTGAATTTGTCTAGTTTCTACACTCTTCATTAGGGATCAAAAAACCTGGGTTCACATCATTTTGTGACTCAAATTATTTCACCTCTCTGGGTCTCAATTTCCTCTTCTATACAGATAACTGAACTAGCTGATCCATTTTTATGTCTACCCTGTTTTATGTCTATAACTAAAAGATTTATTCCTTGAGGTAAGAGAGGAGGTGACTAGCTTACCAGATCAAAGAGAAAAGCCTCAACCATTAAACATTTGCAATATTTTATTGTAAAAGGTTTACATTTACTAGGAGAATTAGCATATATAATCTCTGGGGAATTGGGTTGGTGGGATGGTAGCTGAGATGCATAAAGGATGAAAGACCATTTCCTTTGTGGGGTACTATTTCTTCTGGGTCTACAGTGTGGTAGCATCTGACTTGCCAGTGGGTCTTCATTCCTACTTTGACTGGTTTCTACCTACCATTTGCTTGATTTACTGGAAGAGTACTTTTTTTCCTTTGTGGCTTCCAGGTCAGCAACACACTGCAAGGAGATGTAGTCACAGGCTACTACAGTAAAGCAACATAGAGGACAACGTTTTGAAGTGAGTGTCTCTATGAGAATCAGTATTTCATGGGCAAGACATTGTTGGAGAATACTTGTTCCCCCACTGCTTTAATCATCAGACACAACTGTGGCCTGTGTTTAACCAGAAACTGATCCAAAAAACAGAGTTGATACAAAAGTGTACTTCTCTTGATACGCAGCTAGTCAGAAATGAAAATCTACCATTCTGATAGCAGTATCTTAGAGAAGTCTATGGTCACTGTTGGTTTTAAACATTTTAACTTCAATGGTTTTAGTGACCAAGCAGCTAAATTTCCATAGGTGAAAAGGCACTTGTAGTGTTACAGCAGAGCACCTAATTGTTAGAGCTATTATTCAGTTAGAATTACCTGAAGGAACAAGAAGAGTATATAATGAAGTCACACCAGTGGGCCTTTCTGCCTGTCACAGATTGTCAGTGAGTTAATAAACCAGAAAGCTTGGAAGTGGGGCTCAGCCCTTGAAGGCATGCCTATGAAGTTATTAAATACACCCACAATAGCAGCATAATTTGAGGAAAGGTCAAAATCCCAGATGAGGAGTCTTTCCTCTTCACTGAAAAGGAGATCATCAGATTTTCATTGTTGGATGGGTAAAGTCATCCAAAAAAAGCACCTAGTTTTTCATCCACCCCACAGAAGGCAGCACAGTGAATGAGCAGTCAGACTGCCTCAGTGATCCCTTCAGCCAGAAGTACCTCAAGCTATTCTTTGACAGTTTCATATAGGTTATCAATTTGGCTCCGAAAGTATTTGGCAAGCTCTGCCCGCTTTGCCTTCAGTGTGGGTGTCAAGAGTCCATTTTCAATAGAGAATGCTTCTGGGTGAATGTAAATATTTTTGACCTAGGGAGGGAAGAAAAGGGGGGAAAGCCAATTAGAAATCAATTTACTGACATTGATCACAGCTGAGACCTTTTCTCCCAAAGACCTAGGGGTTCTGTCCCTGTAATGTCACATGTTATTTAGGTTCAAGTGAAGATAATGAACAGAGAGGAGAAGCAGGGAGTAGGGGGAGAATGGGACAGAAGAATTTGAAATCTAGCCTAAGATGATTAGACAGGCCTTGTTCAGGTCATTAATTTAGTGAGTAACTACTACATGCATAACCCTGACAAAGGCTGAGCTTCTGGTTTACTTCTTACCCTAACCCCCACAACAAGTTTACAGTCTAGTTGTGCTAGTAGCACACATTCCAAACTCAACTCCTGGAAAGTTACTACACATTGTCAAGCCCATTAACTACTACAGGTGCACTTAAAGAAAAAAAAAATGTCAGGTAAGGAGATGCAGCCAAACATATAACTAACAAGGTAGCCAGAAAGAATAGTTTGGTACTTAACCCAGCTGGAGGCTACCTACTTCCCATTTGGACTTGAAGTCATACTTACTTGTTCAAAGGACTTGAGGCCACTCTCTCTGCCAATTTTCAGCATGTCTTCCAAAATGGTCTTCTTTACAAGCTAAGAATACCAAACAAGTGACTTAAGTCCAGCTCCAGAAAGTGTTGGGGGGGAGGGGAGGGCAGGGGAGAAATGAGAATGGGACCTTTTTTTTCCTCTTATGCACACACACACACACACACACACACACACACACACACACACATTTTTCCCCTATTAGAATATACTTTCCTTGAGGATAGCGAACTGTTTTCACTTTTGTCCTTCTCCAACACTAAGCAAAAAATAAGTGCTTAATACAGTCTTTTCGATTTACTTATTAGCCAGAAGACTTATAAAAATTTACTAGTATAACCCTTCCATAATTCTAATGTCCCAGGATTATAAGGAGAGTTCCTGCATCCCAATCCAAGTGGAACTGAGAAAATTCATGAGAAAACTCATCTGATCTCTTTTGTTTTATTTAAACAACAGGCCCAAGATAAATGAAAGATGCTCTTGAAACTTACCTCATTTAGGCAGAGCTCCTCATAGGAACCCTGGACCCCAAGTTTTGCTGCAAACTTACGAAATACATCTGGGTCAGGAACAATCACACCCACTAAGGATGACTAAAAAGGAAAATTGAACTTAGTGCTTCTAAGTGGCCCAGAAGTTTCTTTCCCACAGCTAAGAGGATTGGGAGTAGGGGCCCAAGGAAGGGGGACTGTTTTTTCTCTTGGGTATGGCTGTCAAAAATACTTTTTTATGAAACAAGTCAAAATATATACATTTTGGCCACTATTTTTTTCCTTTCCCCATTCAGATGCAGTAAGGATATCTCCTTTTACATAGTGTCTTTGTCCCCACCCTGTAGTTGACTTAGGCTCGTTTCAAAGATATTATTTTTGTTTCTAATTGGTCTTCAGTGGTCAGTACCTCTTAGCACTTGGGCTTGTAAAATTTCTGTAAATTTTGGAGGCAGCTATGTGGTTCAATGGAAGGAGTTACATTTGCAGTCAGAGCACTTGGGTTCTAATATTGGCTTTGCTACTTACTACCATGTTGAATTTCTCTGGGCCTTGTATTCAACTGTCAGATTAGGGGTTTGGACTAAATGACCACAAAGGTCCCTTCAGCTCCAAATCCATGATCCTATCAATTGTTCTCTCCCCCTTTCCAGGTCCTTAATCTATAAGGATACATGTATGTACTGGCAGGACTTATATTTAAAAAGAAATATGGGGTAGCCATTCCCAAGTTCAAATCTTAAATCCTTTTAATCAAAAGGAGTCAGCATAAGTTTTTTCCATCTCTAGAAATGCATACTATTAATTCCTGAATTTCCTCCAAAATTGCTTTGTTAGTCAAGTTACCCGTAAACTATCTCCATGTACAAAAACTTGGGATACTGGACCACTCCTGATATACACATTTTCTATCTTCTCTGGGGCAATGTATTCTCCTTGGGCCAGTTTAAAGATGTTCTTCTTCCGGTCAATGATCTTCAGGGTTCCATTCTGTATGCAACAACAGTAGCTGTTAGTATTCTTTTGGCCCAGCCTAAGACATCTACCTCTCCCAGTCAGTTCTAGCTCTTATGTCTGCTACTAAACATAAATAGCAATGGCTTACATTTGTATAGCATGTTATGGTTTTTTGGAATGTTTTCCTCACAATAACCCTTTGAGGTAGATAGTGCAAAGTTAGTACAACCTTTGAGCCTGTTTCTTCATTTGTAAAAAAGTGGATATGTGGTCTACCCACCCAAGATTACACAACTAGCAACCTTTAGGGCCAGGTTTGAATTCACATCTCTGACTCCAAAGTCCAATGAATTATCATACCCCAGCTCCTCATGTTCTCCATTTCCCTGTTTAAATTAGCAGTAGGAGTGTGGGGAAGGGAGGATAGGGAGTGTAGAGGGGAATAGTACAATTCTTAGCATATAAAGGCAGAGAGATGGTATAGTGAGTAGAGTGATAGAGTTGAAGTCGGAAGACCCAAGTTCAGATTCTTTCTCAGATAACTTACTAGCTCTGTAACTCTGAGTAAATGGGACAGGGGGCAGTACATCCCCTAGTTTATAAAGGCAGATGGATGGATGGTGGAGGGGATAGCATGGTAGACTTGGAGTCAGGAATACTCAAATTTAAATCCTCACTTGGAGACTTCTAGCTAGTGACTCTGGGCAAGTCACTTGCCCTTTCCTGACTTCAATTTCCTCACCTGTAAAATGGGGCAGTAGGACCCAGTGACCTCCAAGGTCCCTTTTAGCTTTAAACCCTAAGAATCTTTATCTTTGTCAAAAAGGTCAATATCAAGCCCGATTAAAGGAGAGTTTGGAGTTGTTGTTTTTAACTGGTTATGTCCATGTTTCCCATAGTAAAGTATATTAACCCATATCCAGATCCCTTAGAAATAGCAAAGGACTATATGGGCTTAAAATTTTTTTTTTAAGATTCTCTACCTTGGTCTTTCTCTTCAGTTATCACTGATTGATAGAGTAGCACCTTTGTGCAGCTTTGAAGAAGTCAAAGAGACCTGTTTGTGGCAGTAAAAGTATGTCTAGATAGCCAAGACTAATTAGCTGAGATGACTAGTACTCAAGAGCTCTGAATTTTGAGACTGGACATCACTTTTCTTAAGAGCTTATACCACAATCTAGACAGTGAGCTAACCATTTGTTTCATCATTGTTATCATTATCACCATGAGAGGTACTCAGCATTTACAAGACTGATAGAGAAGAAGCTCACTCTGAATTTAAATAAATGTGTGGGGTCCCATAATTATTAGCATACTTTAGCCCTTGCAAGATTTAGATTTGTGTGTAGGGCAAGATTCAAAAGAAAAAATAAACAGACTCTAGACTAACAATTAGGTTTTAGTATGTGGAATGGAGGTATTTTAGGTAATGTTACTAGACTAATTCATATAAGTGTACCATGTAATAACTGACATTTCAGTCCTATAGAACTCATTTATTATATGTAGAAGAGACCTTCCCTCACCTTATAGTAGAGTTTACTGAGGCCCTCGGAGAAGGTTTCCTTGCTTAAGGTCATATAGCCAATTAGCGTCCAGACATAGTAATACTTAGGAGAGCCCAGGTCTGACTCCTAAGCCTGGTCTCTTTCCCATTCTATCACACTGTCTCCCAACATCTCATAAAAGAGCTGGATATAGCAAGAAGAATTTTGACAGATCCTACACTAGCACCAAGTGAAATAAGTCAACTAACATTTTATATCGTTGTCTTTCTGGAATAATAAAATAAGCTCTTCAAACTCAAGTGGTTTGGGTTGGGGCAAGGGATAGCTTTACCAGAAGTGATGAAAGAAACTTACTGGTAACCAACGGCCGATGTCTCCTGTGTGAAGCCAACCATCTTTGTCAAGAGCTTCAGCTGTTTTCTCGGGATCCTTCAGGTAGCCTTTGAACACATTGGTGCCTCTGATGCAAACCTATAACAAAAATGCATGTACCAGGTTTAAAATAATCGTAATCTCTCCCGATCTCCCAATTTAGTCTGCCCAGGTAAACAGTATTCATGGACTCCCTCTTGGGATCATCAGAATAACTGATAAAGCATTTATACCCATTCCCTCATTTGATCCTAATAACCCCATGAAAAAGGTAGAACAAATACCCCCCACTTTATAGATGAAAGAAATGAGGCTCAGAGTAGTTTAAAGGAAATATCCAAGGTCACATAGCCTGAAACCCAAATCTTTCTGCCTCCAAGTCCAAAGCTCTGTTCTACCAGGATGCCATGTACCTCTCCTTCCCCATTCACTGAGAAGTAGTTCATGTCTACGACATCTTCAAGCTTCACTTCATTACAGACTAAAGGAGCCCCAACATGACCTAGAACAAGTCAGAAAGGAATATCCATGAATTTTGGAAGAAGATGAGCATATACTAGACTCTTAATTATACTTGTAGAATGTATTCCACAGAAATGAAGTTGAGCAAGCCATTTATTTGACTTGGGATTTAGTGATGGGGCTGTGTGACCACATTACCTCCTCACCCTACCAAAATCTGGCTTAAATGACAGATCTTTAACTTCTAGTTGAACTAGAAATCTGTATTAATTTTCCTGGCTAGATGCCTTACCTGTTGTCCAGTCCCCAGGCGATGAAAATGTGCAGCCAGCAGTGCACTCAGTCTGACCATAAGCCTCATACACCTGGGGAAATGAAACAAACCTTTAGACCTGGGCTGGCTTTGAACAGCCTGAAAAATCTTTCCTCTAAGCTACAGGTTGAAGCAACAACTACCACAAAAAGTCCAATTACTTCCCCTTCCCACCCCCCACAGGGAAAAAATCAAATAGAATGGTTTATCTTCTTTTGACTAAGCCTTTCCTTTCTAAGCTTCTGCTACCCAAGATCCAGTCACCAAAATAAAAATATTGTTTTAAAAGAGTAGGCTCCCAAAACTTCCAGAAGTACACAGCTTACCGGACAGCCAAGTGCAGCTCGGAGGAATTCCAAGACTGGGGAGGAGATAGGTGCAGCTCCAGTTACCATTAAGCGTACCTTCCCACCTAAAGTTGCCTATGCAGGAAGAAAAGAAAAGGCTTCTTACTCAGATGGGGGCATTGATTAAATCTAATCGATCAAGCCATAAAGGATCTTAGAGATTATTTCATCCAGTCCCTTCATTTCATAGCTGAAACAATCTTAGGAAAGTGAGGTGACAATGTGTGACCTTGGACAAATGGCAGCACCAAGATTTAAATGTCAGTATTTACTATATGGTGCTATTAGACTATATTGCCACCAAGAATTCAGTTTAGCAAATAGTAATTCATATATAATCATGAGAACCTAGTGATTCTTCCTTCATAAAAACTCTTGAATCCATTTCTTTTCTAATTTCATAGATACCACTATAATCTATGTCTTCTTTGTCACTATTAGATCATACCAGCCTACTCAGCTTCTCATTTCTTTTATCTTTAGTGCTATATAAACTGAAATGATAGCTTCCCTCACCCCTGGCCAGCATCATCACCTCTCTCTTTAAAAAAAAAAATCTTTCTTGGGTTACTTTTTCTGCTTGAAAATTTTTACTGTTGAATGACTTACAGACTAAAAGTTCAAACTCATTAGCCTGGTATTCAAGGTTCTCCACAATCTGTCCCAAGCCAACCTTTCCAGTCTTATCTCCTACCACAACCCTTTTTACAAACCCTCTGCTCTAGTCGGACAATCTTGTGGTCACTAAATCCTAAATATAGCTTGCACATCCCCAGTTCTGTAGTTAGGCTTCTACCATTTCCCTTCCTGACATGCCTTTCCTTCAAACCTCTTTGTTGGCTTATCTAGCTCCCACCCATCTATTCCGAAACTACCATGTCATTTTCAGAAGCCTTACTAAAACTCTCCTATGAAGCATTTCAGTACTAGAGAAAGGAGGAAATTATCTTGGGCAAAACTAAGTATTTGTTTATACCATTCACTGGACAATTTATTGGCTCAGTTTTCAAAATAATCCGTCATTTACTGTTTGATATTGACCTTCTCATATAATGATGCCTTGGGTCCCCAGATTGGTGGGGATGGGGAATGGGAGAGTGGGGAGTATGAAGATATGCTCAAGGGCAGAGACTAGACCCTGGGTCTCTGTATCCCAGTATGAAATCAATTTGTACCTAACTGAATGCCCATTGAATGTGATATAAAAAATACAACATGCTTCCTGACCTTGAGAAACTTAGGCCTTTGGGGGAAATTTTACATGGAAGACATGAAAAATTGATTAAAAGGCTGTTCCTGTCTCTGTGGCAATCCATTAAGCATATTAGATACATCTATTCTTTACAAAACAAGTAAACAAACTTTGTTAGATAGGATCTATTCCCCTTTGTTAGATAAAGAAAACTAAAGCTAAGAGAAACTGCAAAACTTGGCCAGGATTATATAACCAACACAGCTAGTAAGTAATGAAGCAAGTGCTCTAATCCAGTTGTCCTCACTCCTAGATCAGTGCTCTTTCCTCTAAGTCGTTGCCAATGTTAAATCAAGCACGAAGAACAAGATTCTAGGGGTGTTAGGTGAGGTAACAGACCTTATTACCATGACCTGACTGGGATGATTCAGTCATAAGCTCACAAGAAAAAACATCAATTGGGTAAGTGGAAGCTCACCAAGCACTCCAGAAAAATAAGATTTCAAGAAACCAAAGCCAAAGCTTATTTCTCCATCAAGTAGAAGAGCAAATGTAAACTTGGTGACCTTAAGAGGCACACAGCCCCCTGTACTCTAGCCTGAGCAATTAGAATCCCAGGAGTTGGGAAATGCAGCTCATTAATAGCACAAGGCCTTTGCACCTGTGAAATTATGGAAGTTCTTGCCAAGAGATTTTACAGGAAGGCACCTGTTTGGACACTATTCAGGGCCCAGGGGGCATAATTGTCTGTGATCTGCATTGTATTCTTGGGTACTTGAGACATTGGGGTGAGACTCCCTGAGGAAGACAAATGGGCATTTGCCCCTGGGTAGCAATGGCAGGAGGGGCTAGGGGAGGGAGGGGCAGAGAGAGATAAAACATCTGTCCTTTTATAGGAAGAACAAAAGGGAAGAAACCATAGCAGAAATGGCCCAATCTAGTTGCAAAGGGACTTGGTCAGTCAGGTTCTTGGAGTTAAGCCAACTCGAGCATAATCCTAAAGATAAAAGGAAACATCCACATATAGCTTGTCTCACAAGCGGTACACACACACACATACACACACACACACACACACACACACACACACACATACACACACACACACACACACACACACACAGACATACCTGGATTTTTTTAAATATGAGTATATCCCAGATGCTATCTTGCCGGACAATGCCTTGCTTTACTTCACTGAATTTCCTAGAGATGGCCAGATTCAACAAAAACTTCTTGAATGGTGTCTTGGCTTCACTATGTACCTGTGAGAAAACAGTTCCACTTGGTGGGAAATGTTTTAGATGCATATCTGCTTATTTCTCCATAAAACCACCAAATGTGATTAGTAATACAAGCAAGAGAAGCTGACTTCTAGTTTTGTGTATGAAAACAAGTTACATAAATTAAGCCACAGGAAGATCACTAAGGAGCTTCATAGCACCAAATAAGCAGAAGATGACTGTCGTTTTACTTTCATCTCCAAATTCCTAGTCTGTAGCAATCAAAAAATATTTATTAAGTACTTCCTATGTACCAGATACTATGCTACTAAGCATAGTAAGAAATTCCAAGAAAGGTAAAAACAGCCCTTGCCCTCAGACAGTGTGTACTACAATGAGGGAAGACAATATGTAAATAGTTAAGTATATCAAGATCTGTACTGCATAGATGGAAGGTGATGTTGAAAGCATAAGCATCCAGGGTTGGGGTGGAGGGCACCAGTGAGGAAGCAGATCATTCCAGATGTGAAGATCAGCCAGGATGAGCAAAGGTAGGGAGACTAGAGATAGAATGTTCTGTGGAAGCAAGCCAGCAAGCCAGTGTAGCTGAATTGCATGGAAGGGAACACTTGAAAGGGAGCAAAGTGTAAAAAGACTGGAAAGGTTGAAAGAGGCCAGGTTATGAAGAATCTTCAATGATAGGACTTTCTATTTGATCCTGAAGGTAATAGGGAATCACTGGAATCTACTGAGTAGCAGCAGGGTAACATGGTTAGACTTTAGGAAAATGGGTTTGGCAACTAATGGAGGATGGATTGGAATAGGGAAGACACTTGAGGCCAGGACAACTTCAACAACCCCTACAGTTGAATAAATTAGTCTTGAAAACAGAAAAGTTGAATCTGAATATCTCTTCAAAAATAAACTCCCTAGTAACCACACGATTTGCAATTGAAGGGAATGATAGTTACCTAGCTTCCAATTGGACCGAGAGTCCCAACTTCATTTTATAGAGGAGTCAGAGGTCGGGGAACATGAAATAATGCCCAAATCTCATAGGTAAATAGGTAGCAGCTGGAAAATTCAAACCCAGATCTTTTAAATCTACATCCAAAGCTCTTTTCATCATACCACATACTGCTCACATTGTTTGGATTTAGCAATGGACTAAGAAATACTGAGAAATTAATGTCATTGTAGTTTAAAGATTTCCTAAATACTATGCTATCTTTTTTTGGCTGGATAGCCTTTAGATCATTAAAAAAAAAAAGATCCAAAACCAAAACACATCCAAATATAAAAGGTGATAATGGTGGTGCAGAGATTGGTGGTATTTTAAGAGGGGTAGTTACTGGGAATGGTTGCAAAAGGCCAGATTTTTTTGTTTTAAAGGATTACTACTCTGTAAACTTCACAGGTACTTGAAAGAAGTACCTAGTCTCTTCTTTACTTAACTATCCTCATAAAACAAACCTTATCATAGACCCTGTTGAGAAGCCGGGGAACCACGGGGAACACAGTTGGCTGTAGGGTTTTCATGTCATCGGTCAAGAGCCGGATATCTCCTTGGAAGAATCCCACTCTGGCACCACAGGTATAAATAACAGCCTAGAGAGGAAGCAACATGGGTGGTCAGTTTTCCCAAGATCCAAGGCAGGACCTATCCTAGACAAATGCATGAAGCTGGCCAGTTCATAGCCTCCCAGATTTGGAAGGGACCTTAGAAGCCATTGAGCCCAACCTGTTCTGTGCAAGAATTCCCTTGCTACAGCATCCTTACAAGCTTTCATCCAACCTTTAATTGAAAACTTCTAATGAGAGAGGAAATCCCTTTCTCCACTACCTCCTGGGGCAACCCATCCTAATTTTGAATGGCATTAATCATAAAGGGGAAACATTTCCATATCAAGCCTAAATTTACCTCTGTCATTTCTACTCATTACTCTTAGTTCTGATCTTTGGAATCACACAAAACAAGTTTGTCTTTTGGTTCCCCAACCTCTCGTCTCTTGAGTTTTTCTTCTCTACCACCTGTTATTCCCTTGCCTCTCCAAATGTCTAACATTTTTTGCTTTCTTCCCTTTGTAACCTATCAAAGCCTGCTCTCAGGAAAGGATCTGAAATTTACTCACACCAAGGGGAAAATAATTAATAAAGCTCAGAGCTGTCTCTAGTACAAGGCAATCATGGCTTTGACTTAGGGTACCAGAATTGAGAGGTACTGACAAGCACCATCCATGGCTGTCCTGCCTCATCTTCCTCCTGCCCCCAAGTAATATAGAAACTTCATCATTTTCGGTGGTGTATTTTGCTCCCTCCAACAGCTACACACCAAGTGAACTCTACTCCTTGCTTGCCATGGGTGAAAAATTCTTCTTATGTAAGAAATATAATAAATTTTAATATGTTCCTTCCAGAAATTTGTTTTTCTTATAGAGACAATCTATACTTAAAAGAATGGGTGATTTTTCAGTGTTATCTCTCAGTTGACAGGCCAATGGGAGGTATATTTGGAGAGTGGGGAGCTCTGGTTACTTAAAGGCAGCCTTGCTTTCAGTCATCAGATTAACCTAAGAACAGCTCCAAATAATAAAATTAAGCTCCCACATCTTATTCAAGGACGATTCTCTTTTGTAGTAGTCTCCGGACTGATATTACTTTTGAATAATTGCAAAGACATCCATGATTTATTATTCCAAGTTTCCTTATTCCTTCCCTAGTGCAATGATTTTCTTTTCCTGGTAAGATCAAGGCTCAGAATTTTAGGGAAAATGATCTTATTACGTACATGCTTTTATATCAGCAGTCTTGATTTTCTAGCAACTGTTCTAGGTAAGGTTATTACCATTTGATAGATTGGGTAACAGAGACACAAAGTGGACAAATTGCTCAGTTGGCTAGTGGAGAAACGAGGGCTTGCTTCCCTGTTTCCACTAAAGAATGAGCCCACCGGAAGTTATAAATCTGTCAATACAGGAAACTAAAGAACAGACACCCCTTCTAAACATTTAGGAGATAATTTAAGATACTTACCTGTACAACTCTTTCAAACATATGAGCCAGAGGAAGGTATGATATTGTCACATCTTCACATGTGGGTACAAAAACATTCTAAAGAAAGACAGCACAGATTTTAAAAAAGAAAAAAAATCACATGATTTTATTAAGTTAGTTTTTCACAAATTTAATTATCTCTTCAATTAGTTACCTCTAACCACATTTAGTACTATAATTTATGATGGCCATACATATCCAAAGACAGAAGAAGCACAAGACCTATAGTGGGTAGGAATTAGAGGTATATGCTTTTTATTCACTGTAGACCTATAGTTTATTTTATCCTTCCATCTGGTCCAATTTTCATTCAAGCCCCCAACAGATTCAAGACAGATTCACTTTCAAGCCTCTCTTTTCTACTCCAACAATCACTAACCTCAACACTTCTGAGAAAAGCTGCAGAATTTGCAACAACATTCCGGTGTGTCAGCATGGCTCCTTTGGGATCACCTATAGGAAAATGAAAAGTGAGGAGGATAATTTTTATTCCTCTTTACAAAGAGAAGACAGATGCAATCAATTTTCTTCCAGATAGGTGAGTAATCTGTAGTCCAACTTATGCTCAAAAAAAAAAAAGCCACCTCATTGTCAAAAAACTGCACCTTTACTGAAGGCCTTGTTTCTTAGAGATCCTACCATAGGAAGCCTTACTCAGTTTCCAGTTCCATTAAGATGAGGCCCGAATCTCTGATCTCTCTCCTTTGCTGGATCTTCATCCAAGTCGCATTGGCTAACTGGGTATCTCCCACAGTTCTATTCTTGGCCTTCTTGTCTTCTCCTGCTATACTATTTTATTTGGAGGTCTCATCAACCTTAAGGATTCAACTATCATTTTTATACAAATTATCCTATTTGTACAGACCTAACCTCTCTCCTGACCTCCAGTCTCACATCTCCATCTGCCTATTAGACATCTCTAACTGATTTCTTATAGAAGTCTTAAACTCAACATGTCCAAAACTTAATTCTTTCCTTTCCAAACCCTCCCCTCCTTCTAACTTTCTTATTATTTTTGACAGCACCACTATCCTCCCATTCAAGCTCTTAATCTTGGTGTCATCCTCATTTGCTCACGCTCGTTTATCTCCCATATCCAATCAATTGCCAAGTCTTGTCATTTCTACCTTCACATCTTTTCTATATTCATTTCTATCTCTCCTCCAACACTGCCACCATCTTGGCATAGACTCTTATCACCTTACACCTGGACTATTACAATAAACTTCTGATCTCCTTACCTCAAGTCTCTCCCCACTCCATTCCATCCTCCACTCAGCTGTCAAATTGATCCTTCTAAAGCTCATATCTAACCATGTCATCCCCCCCAAATTCAATCAATTCCAGTGGCTCCCTTTTGCTTCCAGGATCAAATGGAAAGTCTTCTGTTTGGATTTTATAGCTGCCTAAAACCTGGCCCTTTCTATCTTTCCAACTTATTTATACCTTACACTCCTACTCCTCCCCTCTATCCCCCATGTATTCTTCAATCCAGTGATACTGGATTTCTATTTCTCATACACAATACTCCATCTCCAACCCCAGGCATTTTCATTGATCATTTATCCCCTGTGCCTAGAACTCTCTCCCTCCTCATTTCTGCCTCCTAGATTTTCTGGCTTCTTTCAAGTCTTTTCTAAAGTCTTGCTTTTTATAAGAATTCATTCCTAGTCCTCTTTAATATAAGTGCCTTCCCTCTGAGATTATCTCTAGTTCTCTCTTTTTCTTTCTTTCTTTCTTTCTCTCTCCTTCCTTTTTCTTCTTTATTTCTCTCTTCCTCTCTTTCTTTCCTTTTTCCTTCTTTCTCTCTCCTTCCTTTCTCTTTCTTTCTCTTTCCTTCATTCCTTCTTTCCTTTCTGTCTCCTTCCTTTTTTCCTTCTCTCTCTCTCTCTCTCTCTCTCTCTCTATCTATCTATCTCTTTCTCTCTCTCTCTTTATACCTATTCTACATGTTCTCTCCCCCATTAGACTGTGAGCTCCTTGAGAGCAGGGACTGTTTTTTTTCCTTTTCTTTGTATCCCTGGTACTTAGCCCAGTGCCTGTCACGTATTAGGCACTTAAAAAAATTTGTTTACAGATTCTGCTCCCCAAGTTACTCTTCATTCCTCTGACTCAATGTAACTGTTTCATTGGAATAAACTTCATTCAGGCCAACAGGACAATACAGAGCTTGAAAACTCCTGGGAAAGTCAAATATCTTCACTTTCTAAAAAATCTAATATAGAACTTTCAAGGATGGAACTTTAGGTACTTCCACATGCCTATCCCTACCCCACAGGTAGGACCTTACCCTTGTTTATTTACATTAAAATGCCTGACTCATCTTCCTACTCATGTATTCATATATTGATAGTATCTTTATTCTGTTGTCTGGACATCCTATATATTGGTATATATTCATATTAATGAGTCTTTTATTCCTGCCTGCTAGGTGATTACATTTTAATCATAGGACATCTAGTATAGAATAAACAAACTGCTTTTCAAATAATATGATTTTTATTGTTAACTACTTCTGTGCTTTCTGTGAATACATGGTCAGTGTTTTGAGGTTTACTAAGTGCTTTCTTCACAATTCTGTGAACTCTGAAATGTATTGTCCCCATTTTACAGATTAAGAAGTAAATTAAGGCTCTAAGAGGTAAAATGACATGTTCATAATCACAAAGCTATGTAAGTATATCAGTTGGGATTTGAACCAAGTCTCCCAACTCTAATACTTTAACTATTATAATATGCTACTTCTCATAAGCCCATTGGTGAGCATACCACTGACTGACCTGTTGTCCCACTGGTGAAACATATAATGCTGAGGTCCTCAGGTTTGGGAGGCTAGAAAGAGAAGTACAAACACTTTATCCTACTACAATTCTTGACAATCAAAACAAACAACTCAAAACATGAATATAAGAAGATATTAACTTACCACAGGTTTTTTGAAATTCTCTTTGCCCAGAATCTGTAGGAAAAAAAAAGTCACCCAGAAAGGGGAATAATCAACTAAGATGGGAAGCCATACACAGAAAATTTACATTGCCATATTCTTTGAGGCTACTACCTAAATTTTTCCCATGAGGAAGAGCTGGTAATAATACTTTCTAAAAAATACTCCCACAGGATAAACCTTATCCAGACCAACTCTTAACTTTTGACAGAGGAAGTATATGATCATGACTGTTGCTATTGAAGAAAAGGGATAGAGCTAGATCTTGAATGTCTTAGTTTTGGTCTTATAGCTTATGGGTTTTATGTTATGGTTTATCTCAAACCTCACCTACATTTTCTTTTCTTTCTCTCTGTCCCTATCCCTGTCTCTGTCCCTATCCCTATCTCTCTTTTTTTGAAGTTCTAAATTTATTTTTAACATTCATTTTTTAAAAATTGAGTTCCAAATTCTTATCTTCCCTTCAGCCCTGCCTCCAACCATTGAGAACGCAAGCAATATGATACCTATTATACATGTGAAGTCATGTAAAACATATTTCTATATTAGCCATATTGCAAAAAATAAAAAGAAAGTGAAAAACAATATGCTTCAATCTACAATGCTTCATTGCATTCTCTGAATGTGGACAGCATTTTTCATCATGAGTTATTTGGAATTGTCTTGGATCATTGTATTGATCAGAGTGGCTAAGTCTTTCACAATTGATCATTGTCACATTATTGCTGTTACTGTGTACAATGTTCTGCTTCTGCTCACTTCACTTCGCATCAGTTCATATAAATCTTCCCACTTACCTACATTTTCAAGGAATGAAGAAATGCTAGATTTGGTCTTTTCTACATATTTCATAGACATCTTATTTAGTCCAAAGGGAAAATCTTCAAAAGCTGCTTTCCTAGGCTATTTTCAATTCATACTCTGAATGCTATAATTCTACACAACTCTGTTGTAGCTTTCCTTTTTTTTTTTTAAGCAAAAGATGCTGTAAAATGCAAAAGGAGAAGCTCTTCAACCCCCTCACAAAATCCCATGTGGATTATAGTTTTGGCTTCTGTACTGTACCTCTGTATCATATAGTGATAAGATTTCAATTCCAAGCTTCTCTCCTCTTTCCTTAAGGCTATCTTCAAAGGCGTCCATGAGGATTATCATCTTCAACCCTAAGGTAAGGCCCTTCTCAACATTCTCCAGTAGAATATTTGCTTTCTTGGGTGTGTCACAGACCACTGTGGCAATCTCCGCTGGAGGGCAGAACCAGAACCAAAAAGATCACCCCTCGTGGCTATATGCCTTTCTGGGGTGAGGGGTAAGATTCAAAAATATTCAATGTGCAATCAGAGATTAGACCTGCAAGACTTATAGGCATGCTACATGAAACCTATCTACCAGGAAGGGAAAAGGATACTGTTGACAGCATCATTTAGAGACTCAAGGAGGTCCTGAAATTGCTTCCTCTTAAGGAAAAAATAATACAATATATACAAGGGCTGGTTAGTTGCTTGTCTACTAGAGTTTTCTCATTCCCATATGTGTCAAATTTAGCATTTTTATCAGTAAAGGTCTATGATGTCCTTCCTAAGTGGCTATTGCTTCACCTGTCCCACGTATCCAATTAACCCAACCTTTTTTCAGTTTATATCCTGGTCATCATCTTACCATCAGCTCTGCCTTTAAGCATAAACTCTCCAGCAACCCTCCCTGACCTCTGCTTTCTACTTTGGAAACCACAAACTAATCCATACTGCTGTAGCTACCTGGTAGAGTATGCCAATCTATTCTCCTATAGCTCCACTCACCTTTTCTGAGACTTTCCAAACTGAGACAACTCTGACTACCATTCCACTAGGTGTATTCTCTCCCCCATTAGCACCTAAGTTCTTTCAAAGTATAGAAAGTCTAGTTTTTGTTTGTGTCTCCCTAGCACTTAGGCAGCACTTAGGCAGCACTGGTCACATAATAAGCACTTAAATGATTTTTTATTCATTATAGATTTAAAGTTGGAAGGCTCTTTGGAGGTCATCTAATCCAAGGCCAATTACAAGTGAGCAAATCAAGGCCCAGAGCAATTAAGTGATTTGCCCAGGGTCATATAGCTGATAAAATGGCAGAGGTGAAATTTGAACAATCTAAAAGGGAAAGATTTACAATTACTGCTAAATAAATCAAAAGTGCCCGATGAAGCCCATTAGCCAAAAGTAGTCCACATAATTAATTCTACAGGCTTATGTCTATTAACATGCTTATCTGTTTTGTGAAAATACTACTATTCATCTGTTTATAGGTCATGCTGGGATTTATTTTGCTAGTGGTGGTATTGGATTTGCATGGACATATCCAAAACCTTGCCTTTTGTTAAATATTTTTCATTGTTAGATGATTAGTCACATACCCCTGAAAGTTAGTCCATACCCCAAAAAGTTTTCAAACTGCTGAAAAAGAATTAAAACCTTTTGACAAGCCCTACAATTTAGACAGAGATACCTGACCATACTTAGGAAAAATCACCTTATGTGCAAGCTATTATGCTTCATTCAGGCTATGTCAAGATACCTTCTGATTATTTCTGTTTACTCATACATCTATTAAGAGCAATGCATTATTATAGGTGCTAGAAGAATACTTTTTTTTTTTCATTTTAAATTCCCTGCCCTAACAGGGCTTGCAATTTAATAGAAGTCATTAGGTACACATTCAAATTTTTAAACACTTCAAGTTCATACAGAGAATATAAAGATGTCTGTTTTGATGAGTGGAAGATCAGGAAGGCTCCATAGGCGATGGCACAATCATCCCTGCCTAATATACATTTTAGGGTTCTCTAGGAAGAATGATTCAATTACCGACTGGGATCTCCTCAATAAGGATGCACCCTCTCAACAGATCCCAAGACAGAGAACATTGTTCTTGTTCTCCCCTAAGCCTTCTCTAGATGGTTACCTCAGGTACATGCTAGGGGCCCTCATCTAGAGTTCTTTAGGTGTCATGGATACCAAAGCAGCCCTCTGGCAGCCCATTGGTTATCCCTTTCTCACTATTTGATTCTTCTAATCAAAGATTTCTTCTCCATCCCTCGTGACACTTATTGCATAGAGGTCAATGTTGGAAACGTTACAACTTATTTGAATCTACCAGGAGTAAAAAGTACATAGTAAGAGATTATAAATATGCATAGGAAAGTAATAAAAGCAGGCTGTTGGGGACATGAGCCATTTAAAAATATCCCAACATTCCTCTACAAAATGGATACTCTTGAACTGGGCTTTAGAGCCTTCCCTGGTCCCCTAGACTGAAGAAGGTTTTTTCTAATTCTGAACAACCAGAGCAGTTTCCTTGTCCTTACACTATGTACTTACCTCTTTCTATAGAATGATACCCCTATCCTAGCCCTCCCAAGGAGACTATGAGCTTCTTAAGAACAAGGATGATGTCACTCTCATTTTTTTATCAGTGCCTACCAAAAAGGCTTGCATAAGAGAAGTTCGATAAGTGTGGTGAGTGGATTGGAGTCCCAAGCATGCTAACAAAAGTGGCAATAACACATGTATAAGAGTGATGTCTGAAAGCTATCTCCTAAGATCCAAGGAGGAACTGAAGTGCAGCAACCCCCAGCTTACCTTTGTTAACAATGTACACTATGGCTTCAGGCCCCAGGGTATCATAGAGGGGGACAGCCACCATTGAGTAGGTGTAGCAGGCAAGTTCTGCAATGATCCACTGTACAAACAGAAAATATTACCCTCAGGTACTGGACAGTATTGGGGGGCATGAGAGGAGAAGCAAATAAGCCTTACAGTCTCTAGGGGAAAGATGAAGAAATAGGCCAGCTGAGCGCCTCAACATTGAGCAGTCCTGCTTTTTTAAATTTGAGAACCAGTCACAGATCTAATAAGTACTCCCTCCTCTATTTGGGGATATTAATAATTATTAGCAATAGTAATAGCTAACAAATATATTTGCTAATATATATGTGTTTATATATGATATATACAAGTGCTTTGCAAACTTTAAAGTTTATATATTTACATGCATATGTGTATATATATATATATAACAATATATAATATACATGCAAACATATATAAACTTTAAAGTTTGTGAAGCACTTGTATATATTATCTCATTTTGGTAGCTAGCAGATAGGTGGTGCAGTGGATAGAGTGCTGGGCCAGGACTCAGGAAGACCTGAGTTCAAATAGGTCAGACACTTACTAGCTGTGTGACCCCAGACAAGGCATTTAACCTCAGTTGGCCTCAGTTTCCTCATATGGAAAATAAGGATCATAATAATAGCACCTAACCAAAGGTTGCTGTGAGGATACCATGAGATAACATTGGTAAAGTGCTTTGTAAACCTTAATACGCTGTAAATTCTGACTATTGCTATTGTTGTTATTACTGAGAGCTCTCCCCACAACAATCCTGAGAGATGGGTAGTAGAAGTATTGTACATAGGGATAAACTGAGGCTCAGAGACATCGAGGGGTTTGCTAGTGCTTAGTAGCCCAAAGTCAACTTCACAATTCTTTGCCTAGTTAGAATAAGAGCTTTGGGGGCAGCTAGGTGGTGCAGTCAATAAAGCACCAGCACTGGAGTCAGGAGGACCTGAGTTAAAATCTAGCCTCCAATACATAACAATTACTAGCTGTGTGACCCTGGGCAAGTCATTTAACCCCAGTTGCCTTAAAAAACAAACAAACAAAAAAAAGAGCCTTGCTTTTGCTATAAGTTGACAGCATGGCATAGCAAAAAGGCCTCTAGAGGAACTAGGTTCAAGTTCAGGCTTTGCCACTGTGACATTGGGGAAACAAGTTGACCTCTGAGCTGCTAGAGATGAGGGGTTTGGGTTCTTATCTTTAACAGAGATAAAACTCATACTGCCTTCCTCAAAGGATCACTATGAGGCAAACAATTTGTAAATGGTAAGTACTGTATAAAAAGTTATATGATATATGTGTACCCACACATATACTAATTAAATGTGATTACCTCTGGTCTGTTCTGAGCAAAGATACCAACAAACTGGTCTGGTGATGGTTTGTATCCTTTGTGCAGAAGACAGGATCCCAGGTACTCTGCTCTGTCAGATACCTAGATAGAAAGGGCCCAAGAGAAAAGAGATAAAATTACTTTGTCAGCCCCAGAAATGGGAGGAAGTTAAAAGAATTCCTCAGGACAAATAAGTAGCAGTCAGATTGCATACCTGTTTGTAAGAGAGCCACCTGTATGGTTGATTTGCTTTTCTGGATCCCAAGCAGGGTCCATTGTCTAGAAACAATTACCAAAAAAGAGAGAGCAACAAACTTTAGTCGCAAATCATTTGGGCAAGGAGTAGGTAGGTGCATTTAAGGATATGATATCTACTCTAGGCTTAGTCCCATGCTGAGCATGTGAGAGAATGGAGGGGGAGATGAGAAGAAGGGAGGGAGAATATGAAGGTAGCACAAATGGTCTTCAATGAACTCACAGTTCATTTCAGGGAGACGAGACACAAACAGCAAACAAAACACAGCAGTAGGAGAAGTGGTATGACAGCAGAAAGGGAATCAGAAAACCTTGCTTCTAGATCTAATTCTGCCACTAATTGTGTGTTATATTGAATTGGGGGATTGGAAGGGAAGGCAGAGAAGAAATCATTTCCCACATCAGTAAAGCAACTAGGTGATCACATAGAATGTAATAATAAAGATAAACCTAAAATGTATTACTAAAATAGATGAACCCCTTAAAAGGAGCCACATAAACAAAGGTGTCCTGCAGAAACAGGAATCAGACAGTTAGCTGATTAAAGAGATGACTCTAGTAAACCAGAATTAAATACAGTTTTTAGGGGGAAACAAGAGGGTAGGAATCACACTACTTTCAGAAACTAGCTTGAGAAGTGAGGGGAATTCAGGCCTTGCCAAGAAGAAGCATTTTGCTAAGAATATAATAAATTTCAAAAAAAAAGATACAAAGGCAAGTTTTGGAGCTTAAAGCCTGATTGGAAAGAGAGGGGGTTGGAAGATTAGTGGAAAGAAGAAATAAATTTCCAACTCATTGTACAAATCCAGGAATTAATGATTGAGGAAAATATTCCCAGGGAATCCTAGACATTTTCTTTTGTAGAGATAGACATAATGCCATAATTCTGAGCATATTCCATTGATAGCTGTTCTCCTTGACTCTTGGCAAACAAAAAATGGTCTATTCTGCAAAACTACTTCAATCTCTCTCACCCTACACCCAGATTAGGCTTCCTCATGTATAATCTGATCATGTCATGCTTTTTCTCAAAACTCACCATTGACTCGCTATCATTTTGGCTTTTGGATGCAGGGAGACTATATACCCTTAACATCCTGGCATTCAAACAAACCACCTCTCACCCTTTTTGTGCTATTCCTTCCTCCTACATATTAAATGTTATAGTCAGACTAGCCAATGAACATGTATTAAGTACCTACTGTACCAGGCACTGTGCTAAATTCTGGAAATACTTAAAAAAGAAAGAAAGAAAAGGAAGGAAGGAAGGAAGGAAGAGAAAGACAATCCCTGTCCTCAAGGAGGTTACAGCCCAATGGGGGTAAAACACACACACACACACACACACACACACACACACACACAAGAGGAAGCTGAAAAATGGTGAGTTGTTGGGAAGGTACCAAGAAAGGGCATGATGGTAAAATTCAAAGGAGTACAGCTGGGTAGGAAATGAAGAGACCACATTGCTTGTCACCTCCAACTCACATTTCAACCGTCCCGCTTGTGTGTTCTTCTTCTGCTCACATTACCTTCACCTGGGAGGTATTCTTTCCCCGTCTCTGCCAATTGAGAGATCCTACCCATGCTGTAAAATCCAGCTCCAATTCCACTTCTTCCATGAGAGCTTTCCTGGTGGTCCCCATTAGAAAGTATCTCTTCTTGTACCTCCAACAGCATTTTATGATATTGTAGCGGTAGTGCTAGAAGAGACCTTAGAGGTCATCTAATTCAACTCCCTCTTTTTGCTTTTGAAAAAAATTGAGGCATTGGGCAGTTAAGTGACTTGTATAAAGTCACTTAGCGGGCAGGCCAGGATTTGAATCCTGAGGCGCTGTTTACACTGTGCTTCATATTTACCTGTGGTTTTATTATAGTTCATGTACATTATATTCCATTATAAGACTAAGCTAATACCATATATATTTATAAGATTATTGAGTTGTATAGTGGGTAATCATAGTATAAAGTTCACTAAAAACAATGAAAAAGCGTTAAATGTCTCTATGCCAGGCACTGGAGATACAAAGACAAAAATAGAATGGTCTGCCTTAGCATTGCATTCTCAGGGAATTGATATGCACATAGAAGTATATGCAAAATATATTTTAAAATATAAATACAAAGATGCAGTGGATTGCAGTGAATAAAAGGTTAACCTTGGAGTCAGAAGGACTGGGTTCCATTGCTGACTCTGCCACATACCTACTGGGTGGCCCTAGGCAAGTCACTTAACCTCTTAGCACAACTGAGCATCCCAAGATTAAGCTGCAACTTAGAAAGAGTAGGTGTGCACTTGCTTCCGTAAAGCGATACTGTCGTCTGGGTGTTCCCTATGACAATGAAATCACAGGTGCAGTCCGTATCCTTCCAAGAGGGACCATGGATAATGGGAAAGGTTACATGTACAAGGTGATATTGGAGTTGAGTCTTCAAGGAAAGAAGAGACTCTCAGAGGTGGAGTTGATGACAGAAAACAATTTAGCCATAGGAGATAGTCAGTATAGGAGATGGGAAATAGAGCACTACATATGAGGAAAGGCAAGAAGGGCTGAGTATAAAAATGGGAATGATTAAGGGTGGAAAGGTAATCTGTGGTCAAGCTGTGAAGGGCTTTGGAAGCCAAATTGAGTTTGTATTTTATCCTAGAGAAAGTGGAGCCACTGTACTGAATAGGAGAGTAACATGATCAGACTTGTGCTTTATAATGCTTTCAATCTATACTTTCAGGTTGTATTTGTGAAACTATTGATTAAGGACAGAAACGTGCCCAAGAAGTAAACACATACTATTTGAATCTGCGTCCTCTGATGGGAGAGAGTAGACATTGGTCACTGGAAAGCTCCTGTCTAATCCTCTGCCATTTAAGGAGAGCACTTAAGGAACTCACCTCACCATTTTCAACCTGGCTAACCTTCTGGGTTTCATGATCTTCATAAACTCATCATTCTGGAAGACCGAAATCATTTCTGAAACTCAAACCTCCTCATCTTATTTCCAGCGTCAGCTGTAGGACTTTATCATGCCCCAATGCTGGAATGCTCCCCCATCTCATTTTTTAGCCTCCTTGTGAGTTTTGTCTTCCTCTATTAGATTATAAACTCCTTGAAATCAGGTATTGTCTTCCTTTTTTCATATCTGTATTCCAAGCACTTAGTAAAGTGCCTGGCAATAATAGATATTTATTGACTATTGACTTGGGAGCTGGTGCTCTTTCCACTCTGCCATGCCACAAGGGACAAATCTCTTGGTCTTGGTGGAATACCTACAAGCTTAGCACAATGTCCAGCTATATAGAGTAATACATGACCTGAAATGAGACAGTCTTGTACAAAATTCTTAGCAAAGGTTTACATTCTTATATTTCTGGAAGATTGAAAAAATAAGTTCATTCTTTACTGTAGAGAGGTTGCGGGTATAATACAAAGAATCTGGGCATGGGAATTTTGAAAAGCAAGTTCTACTTTTAGCTTTGCAGTTAGTTTAGATATGTTAAAGTGTGTACTTCATGTCCCTTCCCTGGCCTCAGTTTCTCCATCTGAGAAAACAAAGAGATTGATGTTCAAAGTCCCTTCCAACTCTACCCTAGCATTCCCATTCTATTCTCCACCAGCATTTACTAAAGGCAAAAATCCTCATGTTTGTCTCTGTGTTGATCTGGAACAAATGTTTCACTCATAATAGGCATTTTGTAAATGAAGATCCAAAACCACTTCTGTTGATTTTTTTTTTAATATCTGGGAATGTGGATTTTTAGCATAGAAACAGGTGGAGGGACGAGGCCAGAGTAATACTGGCTAACCAAAGAACAAAGCATTAGTGCACTCATTCCAATTCCAATTTGAAGACATATTAGTATAGGGACCACCTAGGCTAATTGTAGCTTATAGTTTCACCATGACTCACTACCCTTTGCAATGGTCAAAAAGCTCAGCCTGTGACCAGTCTGGTGTTTCTTGGATAACAGAAACAGTGTTCCTGGAGACCACTAGGAAAGGTTTAAAAGTTATGACGCCATCTGAGAGTTACAGTGAAATTGCTCAAGCCTCTAAACTGTGATAAATAGAACTTATAATGGAAACCTGCATGTCATGAAGCACACAGTATTTTCTGACATCAAAGTGTGCTTTGTGAAAACATAAAGTAAATCACCTCCCATCATGACCACCCCCACCTTGCAAATGTGACTGCCTACTCCTAATCCTGTCTCTACTTACAATATAACATGACTTAATCAAGTTATCAAAACAAGAATAAAATGACTAGTGAGCATACCAGACACACGGAGTCCTCGCTGGAAAACTTCATACACTGTTTTGGCATCAGAAAAGTAATAGTCGATGAAGTCATCACTGCGTTGCATAGCACCACGCCGCGCTCCTCCCTAGAAGTCCAAGTCCAAGGTCAGCCTGAGAAAGGCTTGTTTTTAACTACCCCACCACCAAATAAAACAACCCCTAAGAATCGACATTTTCCTAAACCTTCTCCTTTATATTTCATGTCCATGGGGTAGGGGATAGCTTCAGCATTGTGACAGAAACTTCATATCAAGAGACATGGATGACAGCTCCCAGTCAGAATTCTCAGGAAAACAGTTCCCTTTCCGCATAAAATGGACTTCTTTCAGTGATCTATAATGCCTCTGGATGTATGGGCTGAAGAAGCTCTAGATTACCCAGTATACAGGGGTGTGCTAAAGTCAGTTTGAACAGGCTGGAGGATTGTTAAATTTTCTGTTGTGAGCATTTTACACTTCAGAAATATAGACAAAGTACAAATTAGGGCTTGGTTTATTATGTTTTGTTGACTGTCTAGACTTAATAAAACCAATTAAACTTAAAAATGTGTCCTGAAGACTTTTTTTTTTTCAACATTTACCTGCCCATCTCTGCCAGTATGTAGAACCCAGGTTACCAGAGTCCTTTAGTTTGGAGACTTTCTTAATATTTTGTGTCATGGACCCTTTTAACAGTCTGGTGAAGCTTATGGACCCCTTCTCATAATAATGTTTTTAAATGTATGAGATACCCAGTATACTGAAATATAGCTATCAAAATTTTTTTGGAAAAGAAAGTTCATAGACCTCAGTTTAAGAACCTCTGCCATAGACAACCTTGTCTATGTTGTTCAAGCTCTCAGTATCACTTTTATCCCAAAAAGCCTGGGCTAGTATTCAAACTCAGCTGGGCAGCTCTCTGTTGGTAGACTGATTTAAATAAATAAGTCAACACTTGTCAGCAGCATCGAGTTATATTCATTGACTGGATCAAAGTTGGTCAACTGGATAAGGTCAACAGCAACAGAGTTACCTGAACTCCCACTGACTGTTTCTGCAGATCCAGAAGAGGCCAGACTGGCCGAGGTTTGTTAATCAGCCACAGGAAGATGGTGATTCCAACTGTCAGTAGGCTGATCACCACTGGTGTTGAAAGTGGGGAGAAGAGAAAGTTCAAGATGAAAAGCATCTTTGTGGAGCAGCAACAGGAAATTTAGACCTAAAAAAACAGAAAGAAAGAAAGAAACTCAGAAACTAAGAGTTAGAAATGTTCATTGCTTCTATCAGATTTGGGAGGATTTGGGAGGTGGAAAACTTCCATGTCATTGGCTAATTATTGCCCCCAATACTGTGAAACACAATGGAATCCTTCCCTGGTTTCCTTTGAGCCCCAGCTAAAATAAAATCTTCCCTTCCACGTGAAGCATTCCCTGATTCTCCTTAGTTCTAGTACTTTCCCTCTGTTATTTTCCAATTTATCCTGTCTATAGTTTGGACATAGTCGTTTATATGTTATTTCCACCATTAGACTGTGAGCTCCTTGAGAACAGGGACTGTCTTTTGCATTTCTTTGTTTTCCCAGCACTTAGCCTAGTGTCAGGCAGATAGTAGGTGCTTAATAAATGTTTATTGACTATTGACTAATCCCCCCCTCCTTACTCAGGCCTCAGAGGGAGGAGGGGATAAGATAGAAATAAGTAGTTTCCCAGACAATTTAGAGAAATGGTTCTCTTTTATTTTTATCTATGTCATCTAGAGAAGGGAAGTGACCAATGTGAAACTATAGAAGTTAGCTTTCTACTTGTTATCAGGAAGTTATTCAGAAAAAGGTCCTATACTTGTATGAACTGATACAGAGTGAAGTGAGCAGAACCAGAAGAACATTGTATGTGGTAAGAGCAATATTTTTAACAATGATCAACTGTGAAATACTTAGACACTCTGATCAATACAACAATCAACAACAGTTTCAAAAGACTTATGATAAAAAATGCCATCTGCCTCCAGAGAGAGAACTGATGAACTGAGCATCGATTAAAACATATTTTTTTTACTTTATTTTTCTTGCCTTTTTTTTTTTTTGGCAACAAGACTGAGATGGAAATGGGTTTTGCATGACTTCACATGTATAATGGATATCATATTACTTACCTTCTCAATGAGTGGGGAAGAGGTTGGAGGGAAGAAGAGAATTTGGAACTGGAATTTTAAAAAATGAAAGTACAAAAAAGAAAATAAGAGAAAAAGAAAAGATAAAGTTTCCAGAGGTAAACTTCTAGTACTTAAACAACTTCAGGGCCAGGATTAGCTCCCAGAGATTTCAATACTATAAACCAATTGGAGATGAATTATCTTTGAGAATGACAACATGTGAAACAGAGTGTAGCAGCAGGCCTACTGTGCTAAATCTGTTTTCCCTTTAAATAGGTATATTTTATAGAATACCTATCAAAAGAATATTTCATATATATGTATATATATGTATGTATGTATGTATGTATATATTTTGCAACATTTGGCAGTGTCAATGAGTTCTGCAGCTATCATAGAATGGCCTTGTAAGAGCTACTATATTGAAGCCAATTGAATTTCTAAATGGACTAGTTCACATAAGAAAAGCATTACAAGGTATTTTATGTAATTAAAATTCAGGACAGAATATATGTTGAGGATAACTTAGAGCAGCAGTTCTTTTTTCTTAATTATTTATTTATTTTTAGTTTTCAACATTCATTTCCATAAGATTTTGAGTTTTAAATTTTCTTCCTCTCCCTCTCCTTCCCCCTCCCTAAGACAGCATGTAATCTGATATAGGCTGTACTTTTACATTCATTTTAAGCATATTTTCACATTAGTCATGATCTAAAGAAGAATTAGAACTAATGGGAGGAACCTTAAGAAAGAAGAAACAAAACAAAACAACAAAAGAAAAGGAGAGCAAATAGTATGCGTCCATCTGCATTCAGATTCCAAAGTTCTTTCTCTGGATGTGGATAGCATTTTCCATTGTGAGTCTTTTGGAGTTGTCTTAGATCCTTGCCTTGCTGAGAAGAGCTAAGTCTATCAAAGTCAGTCATCAGCGCAATGTGGCTGTTACTGTGTACAATGTTCTCCTCATTTCTGCTCATTTCACTCAGCATCAGTTCATATAAATCTTTTCAGGGTTTTCTGAAGTCTGCCTGCTCATCATTTCTTACTGTATAATAGTATTCCATTATATTCATATACCACAACTTATTCAGCCATTTCCCAATTGATGGGCATCCACTCAATTTCCAATTCTTTGCCACCACAAAAAGAGCTGCTATAAATATTTCTGTACATGTGTATCCTTTTCCCATTTTTATGATCTCTTTGGGATACAGACCTAGAAGTTGTATTGCTGGGTCAAAGGGCATGCACAGTTTTGTAGCTCAGCAACAGTTCTTAAAATGTGGTCCACGGATCTGTAGGCTCCTGAGACCATTTCAGGAGATCCATGAGGTCAAAATAATACTAAGATATTTTCATAATAACTCTAAGATATTTTAATTTAGAATATGGTAAATATTGATGTACATATGTAAATACAACAAACATATATGTATATATATGTATAAATGAAAACTTTCTGGTGGGTCCTTAATAATTTTTAAGAGCATAAAGTGGTCCTGAGACCAAACAGTTTGAGAAGCACTACCTCAGAGGAGACACATAATGCTTCCCCTCCATAGCAATGGGCTCTTCTAGTGCTATTTTTTTCTTACCAGGTCAGATCTTTGGGGAACACTTCTAGCAGATGTGAAGCTTTTTCTCTATAAACAATACTTCCACTGAGCTTTTCTCCTCTTTAATCCTCCTCATTTACTTGCTTAAAATCTCCAAGAAGGTTTCAAAAACCCTATTCTCAACCAAAGGAAAAAAGATCATTTATTTGCCTTGAAACCAGTTCCAGACCCCATTTGATCTCTGAATAAGTGCTATGAGCTTCAACAGACCACTTTTCCACCAAAATGAAGTGAGAATGAAATTTAAGAACATTCCTATTTGGAAGCTCAAGAAATGGACACATACTTCTCTTTTATCATAAGTGATAGACTCCAATCAAAATTAGGACTTTTTTTCATAGGACTTTGATTCTGTGGCCATTAGCTCCAAAGAGAGATCAGTCTCCCCTTAGGGCAGTCTAGTGAGGACTTTCAAGGATGGATAATGAGGAACCCAGAATCCGTATTCCTTGTTTTCTTTTGGATTGTTTATCACCTGATATGGATAAAAATACTTCCCACTTTAGTGAAGAAAACCTTTGATCTATAGGGTAGATCATCATCTATTCCCTAACTTCCTTCCTGTCTCTGAGATACTTTTAGACAGTGCTAAGTTACATGACAACAAGAATAGTATTGTGACACCACCACCTACCAGAATTCTGAAAGCAGCAATATCTGGACTCCTGGCTTACCAAAGTTTGTACAATAAGCAGTCAGTCAATAATACCCAAGTAGCCACCAAGTACCCCTTCAGCCAGCCATATTATATTTTCTGCATGGGATGTGCCACGACAAAACTGAAGCAGGCAAAGTTGTTCTTTGGTAATCTCTTCTCTTCTCAGGCCAGCTGTCATGCTTAGCTCTCCCTCCCCCTTACCTAGCTTTCTGGACAGGGCCTTTTACTATGGCACCTTTGTAAGTAGTACCCTATGACCTGAAATTCTCTCTTTTACCTACTCTATTCCCCCCATCCTCAGAAAAAAAAGGAAAAAAAAAAAAGACAGCTTTTTACCCAGACTCTATTCCATTAGATTTTGTTTGGGGAATGTTTTCATACAGTGGGGAAAATTCTTGACTTGAGTCAGAGGATGTGAGTTCAAATTCTAAATCTGATTCTTACTGTATGATCTTGTGAGAATTACTTAGTTTACTAAGATTTTATTTCCTCATCTGTAACTTGTGAGAGTTGAACTAGATGGCTTCTGAGGCTTCCTCTGGCTTCCAAATTTGTCCAAATTGGATTGAACCTTAGAAGCCTTGTTCGATTCTTTCCATTTATAAATTAGAAACAGAAATAAGGGGAATTAAGTTATTTGCCCAAGGGAATACAATGGTGGTTCTTTTAGAAAACTACCTTCTGCTTATAAATTTATCTTTACTAATCAGTTAGTGCATTGCTTCTCCCAAGTTTTTGTATTTTATTTGAAACAAACTAAAAAATGACTAATGGGAAATTATCAAACATAGGTAATCATCTACCTTCCCTGTTAATATCGAGAGTTTTCTGCCTCCCATTCTCCCAGTTCCTCAGGCTTTCAACCTAGGAGTCATCTTAGACCCCTCACTACCTCTCACCCCACCATATCCAAGATACTTTAATTTCACCTTTGCACCATCACTCAAATATACCCACTTCTCTCCTCCAACACACAGACCCTCATCACCTCATGCCTTGATTAGTACAATAGCTGCTTATGGGTCTGCCTACTTTAGTCTCTCCCCATCCCAATCCATCCTCCATTCAGCCACTAAAGTGATTTTACTAAAGTGCAGATGCAGTCATGTCACCCCCACCTCTCACCCCTATTCAATAAACTCCCTATTGCCTCCAAGATCATATACAAAATGCTTTGTTTGACATTCAAAGCACATCTTAACTTTATTTCCTTCTATCTTTCTAGTCTTCTCACAGCTTACTCCCCAACCTCCCCAACACCTACTCTTCAGTCCAATGACACTGGCTTCCTGGCTGTTTCATGAACAAGACACTTCCTCTTTGCTCAGGGCATGTTCTCTAGCTATCCTCTATGCCTAGAATGCTCTCCTCCTCTTCCACTTTGACTACTATTCTTCCTGACATCCTTTAAGTCCCAGTTAAAACCCCATCTTTTGCTGGAAGACTCCCCCAACGCTTCTTAATTCTAATGCATTACCTTTTTAAATTATTTCCTATTTTTCTTGTATACGATTGGCTTTGTATGTATTTGTCTGCATGTTGTCTCCTCCATTAGATTGTAAGCTCCTTGAAGGCAGGGGCAGTCTTTTGCCTCTTTTTGTATCCCTAGCACTTAGCACAGTGCCTGGCACAAAATTAAACACCTCAATAAGTGTTTGCTGATTGATCTAGAAAATCATTTGAGGATGAAGGCTTTTAATTATCATTCAAGCATATTGGACACAGGTTCTGACATCTATATAGAAGGCTGACTTCAGTTCTGCATGAGCCGGCACTCAGGCACTAAACTTTGGT